CCCCCCCCCCCCCCATATGGCGGAATTTATGATGAGCTTGCAAAATCAATGACGTCACTTTGTTCAGCTAACACTCTGGCGGAATTTATAATGGCTTGCAAAACCTATGTGGCGGAATTTATGATGAGCTTGCAAAATCAATGACGTCACTTTGTTCAGCTAACACTCTGGTGGAATTTATAATGAGCTTGCAAAATGTATGGCATCACTTTGCTGTGCATGCCTGGGCCAAATGTGACAGGTAACGCGAGCAATTAACATCACAATACAGTAATACAGTAACGAGATCGATTAGCGGCACAACACAGTAACGAGATCAGTTCACATCGATAAGCAAACTTTATCGTTTCATATATTAAACAATGATCACTAAACCTTGACCAAGTCTACAGAGAGATCAATGTTACAAACTTTGGTCGTGATTATTGCCTATTTAACTGTCACAACGAGCAATGTTAATAAACATACCAAGCGAAGTAAGCACATGCACGCGTTACTATGCGTTGTTATGTTCGCTATTTGCATACACCTACGATCATTAAACGATCATTAGCGATACGATGCGTACAATGTACATCATAGTAGGGATATTGAAGGATAATACCGGGCTATTATAAGCGTGGACACAGAGCGCGGATATAAACTAGGCAAAAGCACATGATTTCATTTTTAGAACACATTTATTTCTTCATAGCCAGAAATATGCGACATATATCCCGCGGCTTTCGTCTGGCCTTCGGTTTCATTAGGATTGCTCAAAACCCGAGATTTCAGCGGTATTTAACGATAAAAACATGCGCATATGACTTAAAAGCATGTTATTAAAGACAAGCAAGAAACGAGCTTCAAAACAATAGTTCTGGAGAAGAAATTGACCGAAATCTCACCGAGTTATGGCCATACTATTGGAACCAAAACGAAGTTTTTACCGGTCTTGGATGCTCTTAACTACCTTCAAAACAACAAGGCAGGGACAAGGGAAGGGAACAATATATTTCTTCGTTTTCATATCATTCAAAGCCGTAAGAACCTCATCTTGCCGGAACAAGCTTCGCATGTAGGAATTTGTATTGTCTATAACGCGCAGCGAAGGATTTTCACAGGGTATTTTGCAATTTTTCATGCTTTTTGTTAACTAATTCACTGACAGCTACTGACGGTCTCGCTGGTGATTTTGAATTGCTCAGGGACAAGGTTTGTCGACATCGAGACAGCACAATTTTAGGCTCAGTTTGTTCGCTAGCATTTGTTTGACCGAATTCGATCTTCGCATCTCAGGAATTGTATTGTATTGTTGAATTAGTAATACAATTTACTATAAATATTGGGAATCAGGCACGGGTGATCACTTAGTGTTGCGTAATCACTATGTCGCTCATTTCTGGCTATGTTAATACTACAAAGTTAATAATTCTTGTCTGTATAAATATATTATCCACTTAAGAGTTTTGTCACGTTTTTGTTTCTAACTTTAACCGCTCCTTTGAGCCATCATTCATTTCTGTATTGTCCACGTTCTTTGCAGATTTTGTATTTGATTTTGTTCTCTTCCTGGAGGATTTTGGTTGACGGATGGGTATATTTTTACCCCGCTTTTATTCCACTTTGATTGCTTTTTATTGTTCCCAATTAGTCTGTACAACTCTGTTAAAACATTTTCTAAGTCTAAAGCTGTTGGCTTAGCACGAATAAGATAAGGTTGTCTTTCTTGGGACGAAAGTTCATGGACGTCTGTAACCTGAGTATCAGGCCTGACAGGCCGTACTTTTTAGGGCACAGGCACGCCTGATCGCGGGCGAAGGGGAGAAAAGTACGGCCTGACAGCGGTAATTAGATTATACTATTGTTGTTATATTTTATAACGGATATATTTTATATAACGGATATATTTTATATATTGGATATATTTTATAACGATCACAACTACAATTATAGCCGGCCCACTAAACGGCTGAATTTAAATTAAAACTGCAGTAAAATTAGAAAATAATCGCAAATTAGCGAAATATATTGCAAATGTAGCTTATATTAAATCGCCATCAGATTGCACTATCGAACTGACGTATAGTTATAAAGTATGCTTAATATATATATATATATATATATATATATATATATATATATATATATATATATATATATATATATATATATATATATATATATATATATATATATATATATATATATATATATATATATATTATAATTATACGTCAGTTTGTTGATAAATACGGCAAGCGCCATGTAAAGCTCATTGTAGTCACTGAAACCTCTGCGGTTTGCAATATGCATTTATATTTGCAATATATTTCGCTAATTTGTGATTATTTTTGTTAATTTTATAAGTTCATTGCAGTTTTAATTTAAATTCAGCCGTTTAGTGGGCTGCCTATGCTATAATTAGATTGTTGTTGTCGTTGTGTGAAATTTAAATTTCTCCTGCGACATTATGATGGGATACTAAATATAAACTTTGCTGTGGGCGGAAAGCGATCAGGTTAAGTTTTGTGTCAGGCTCTATTTGTAAAATAGAGCCTGATACTC